ATTATGCCGAGACCACCCCTCAGGCACCTCAAGTCCAGCCTGGAGTACAGAGCATTGAGGCTGTGACTGTAGCATGGACTAGCGGTGCACTCATCTTTGCATACGTGATGATCTGGCTCACATACTTTGTCGAAGGGATGTTACTTGCTACCACGAGTATCCTAACTCCCTACGTAACCTCCGCTTTTGCCTTATTTTCCTTGACACCAACCGTCGGGATTCTCAGCAGCGTCATAGGTGGTGTCACTAATCTTACCTTGGCCAAGGTCCTAGACGTGTTTGGGCGCCCTCAGGGGTACCTCTTCTGCATTATATTTGCTACGGCAGGGCTTGTCATGATGGCAATGTGCAGCAATGTCCAAGCATATGCCTCCGCACAAGTCTTTCAGACAGTTGGAAATAATGGAATACTCTATAGCCTAACAGTGTTCGTAGCCGACACTTCCTCGTTACGCAACCGTGGTCTGATGCAAGCAATTGTCAGCTCGCCAAATCTTATTACATGTTGGTTGGCTGGTCCGATATCTTCCAGCTTCCTCGCTGGTCCCGGTTGGAGATGGGCTTTCGGCATGTTTGCCATACTTGTGCCGCTGATTACTCTTCCCCTCTTCCAGCTCCTGTTGATCAACTACCTAAAAGCCAAGAAGATGGGTCTGGTCTCGCAAAGTGACGGGAGTGACAGGGATCACCCAACCTTGCTCCAATCGCTTGTCTACTACTCCAAGCAGTTCGATGCCGTTGGAATTATCCTCCTGTCTACTGGGGTTGCCCTTTTCTTACTACCATTCAATCTCTATTCACTTCAAGGCTGGGGCTCGCCTCTAGTGGTTTCGATGTTACTTGCTGGGGGGATACTGATTGTTAGTTTCGTCGTCTGGGAGCGGCTTTATGCTCCCATCACATTTCTCCCTTACGCTCTCTTACTAGACCGAACAGTGCTAGGCTCCTGCATTCTCTCAGCTACGTTATTCGTGAGCTTCTGGTGCTGGAATAGCTTCTTTAGTTCCTATCTGCAGGTTGTTAACAACCTCAGTGTCGAGAATGCAAGCTATGTTGTGCAGACGTACACTGTATGCTCAGTTTTATCTGCCATTGCGGTCGGTAGCATGATCCATCACACGGGACGTTTCAAACCAGTGTGCCTTTACATTGGGATTCCGCTCAGCGTGTTGGGTTCCGGGTTGATGATATACTACTGCAAGATCGACAGCAGCGTTGGCTACATAATCATGTGCCAGATCTTCATTTCCATAGCTGCTGGCACGATTATGATCTGTGACGAGGTTGCAATTCTAGCGGCTGCGTCACATCAACACGTTGCGGTTTGTATCGCCGTGTTAGGAATGTTTGGAAATGTTGGCGGTGCCGTGGGCCTAACAGTTGCTTCTGCTATCTGGCAGAGTGTTTTCCCCCGGAAGCTGGCAGAGTATCTCCCTACCCAGGAGCTTTCCAGGCTGCCTGAGATCTACCAAAATCTTTCAACACAGCTGTCGTATCCTGTTGGATCCGCCACACGCCTCGCTATTCAGCATGCGTACCGTGACGCTCAGATAAGCATGCTGGTAGTAAGCACCGCAGTTTGGGTTGTCGGGTTCTTTGCCGTTCTGGTCTGGAGGGACATCAACGTAATCGGAGTTAAACAAAACAAGGGGCATGTGTGGTAACTCACTAGTTAGTTAGTTAACTAGCTGGCAAGTTAACTAGCAGGCTCCATCGTGCAGTGGGCTTTCTCCCCAAATGCCGTGTGGGAGTGGGTGGGTACGGAGCAGGCAGTGTTTTGTTCCATCAGTTACGGAGTAGTTAACAGCCTTTTAGTTATACGGAGTTGGAGCCACTTCGTCTTTTTTTAATTTGCAATATGGAGTACAGTAACTAAGTAGTTACATAGTTAGTCCACTGAAGCCATCCTCTTACATATTCAGGTAGGATGAAAAAAACAGCCTGTCCACTCCATCAACTAGTCGACTATTGAATCTGGTCAACTTGGCTCGGACAGTGATAGAAGCCTCCTGAGTCTGGCTCCATCCAACCGCACCGATAATCGTCCCAACAGTCCCCCAAGCCGTCAAGGTCAGGACTTCCCGACAGCCTCCCATGTTAATTTAAACGAGTGAACGAGTGATCGACTAGTCAGACCGCACGAGGCTTGTTTTCTAGATCTTTCGTATTTCGAGTTTGCCTCGCGAAGCCAAATCTTATTATGGTCGTCAAGGACTATTACCAGATGATTGCATAACATTTCATATATACAGGGAGCTGACTCTAGTTTACGGGCTGCATCTCCGTGATAATAACGTCCCCTGGGTGGTTTTCTACTCGTTTTTTCTTATTTTAGATCCCTCCTCGTTGTCTTGTCTCCATATTTTTTCCTTTAGTCCAACTCGTCCAACTCGTTAACTGATTTCCCCCAGACAGAGTTTTTTCTTTTAGCCTAAGCGACAACATCATCCGGGACAAATCAAAGAGACGGTTCATGTACCCTACATCCCAGCGCACGGGAAGAGAATGGCGAACCTGGCTCTCCCAGGCCATCTTGAAAGTGACTGATACCCGCCAGCCCGAAACCCGCTGCCTAGCTTGTCACATCCGCCAGCGAAGGAAGCAAGCCAAGCTCAGCCGGCGCTTGAGCTATGCGTCTGAAGAATCCTTCCAGCCCTGAATTTTCGCTGGTTATGGATGATTGAGAGGCATGGTGCCTCAGGCCCGGCCATGCTTCCCTTCTTTCGCCTTGTTTCGTTTCTTTTCCCTTTGATACGGAACACTCTTGACAGATCATCCCTGAATCCCGCATTGGTGTCTGGCCAGGGAGCCAGACAAGCATTACATACGCTTCGGCTGCCGGAGAGATTTGGCCATGGCGTGTACTTTATACGACTGTGGGGCCATCAGGAATATTAATATACCAAGAATAGGCACACAAGCAGATACTTCCCACACCTTGCACCCCCTCCTCTCGCTGGCTGAGCATCCCGATACGGAAGGACAGTGTTCGTGTCAAGCTGAAGGCGATGGCGGACTACGGCCGGGAACATCTGGCTGATCTTCACCGCGTTGGTGTGCTTCTTTGGCTGGCCGTCTCAATACGAGGATTCCCTGGGGGTTCCTCCTGCTGCGGACATATGTATATATGAAGTCTACACCCACCCTCCTGGACAGAAATGTGAATCTGGAGTGAACGAGGCCGTGTGTAACCATCCTGATCCTATATTTGTGCAGAACAAATGTCACAGTCAATCAGCTCTTGTGGAGGGCAGCAGCTCAAGGCAGCCGGATCACCAGCTTGCCTCGCGGGCGAGAAAATCGTTCTCCCGTTTGTCCGCACTCTCTCGTTCTCCCTCTGTTCCTTTTTTTTTTTTTTTTTATTTAACACCTGCTTATTGATCAACAAGCTGCGATGCTACCTAATGCCAGTTTTACGATGAGGGCTTCGTGACCGGACGACGCCCGAGTAGTAGTATTAGCAAGCGGTCTTCCCGTGCTATCTATGGAATTGCTGGACATCTGAGACAGCATCCTGTGATCGATTTACGGAGCCAACGTTCCCATGCTTGAGGCTAAAGAGGAGCACCTGCATGCAATGCTCCAACAGTCCCCAGTTTTCTCGCCTGGACAAGTCTTTCTGCGGGTGATAAAAGGGCTGAAGCCCCAAGGCAGGGCCTTAGCCAGCTGGCACCCGTTGGCTCTCTGAAAATAAGGAAGACCGGACGCAACAGGCCTCAGACGTTTCCAGGTCCTACTTTTACTTCCGGCTACCTCGGCACAACCTCCAGCTCGCTAGTCAATAATATCATAATAATAGCAGTAATAGTGGGAGTAATAAGTGATCTGATCTTCTTGAAATCGCGCGCCCGTTACGCCCCTGCATGCAGACTCGCGACACCGCAACTTTACGCAAGAAACCAACTAGTCAAGGCTGCTCGTTAGTTAGTTGGCAGGAAACTCTCCAATATAGTTATCTAGAAAACTCTTGTTAAAATCGCTCGAACTAGCTACGGAATCGCCCAACGTCGTAGTTAGCGCAAGCTTGCTGTCCCTGGGACTTGTTCTCCTGGCGGGCGACAATCAATTAAGCTCTCTCTGAGAGCCTGGCAGCAGCATATAAATATGACCCCCTTTTTTCTCCCTTTCCGTCCGGCATCTTCCCCAGACGACCTCCACAGCATCCGCTGCCTCTGGCCTTTCCTGCTGCTGTTATGCTGTTACTCCGTACTGCTGGGCAACTAGTTAGCCATGCACAGAGAGTCAGGCCAGTTGGTATGCCTTTCTAACCGCCGAACGAAGGAGCCCTCCATGTGATGATTCCACACGGCTGGCAGCGCTCAGCCCAGAGACACCGACAAGACACCGGACGATCTGAGCAGACTTGAGCAGGTTTATCAGTCTTTGTCTGTCTGTTTCGCGATTGCAAATAAGCCATAACTATCAACGGAGTCACTAGTTAAGTCTTTCAAAATCTGACGGGTTGTCCGTCCTGTTGAATTGATGGAGCCCGCCCCCCCGGAAATCCCAAGACGCCCCAAACCACGAACATCCCAGCAACCCCAAGACGGAGACGGAGCTAGCGAAGCAAAAACCCGCCAGAGCGCTTGAAACAAGTAGATCCAGCAAGGGGACTGAGGTGAATCGAGCTAATTATCATTGGCAGCTCGCGTGTTCATGCAAGCGACGCAGACGCAGGAGCAAAAACGGCTGCAATGCAAAGATCAATCCAGCAGCAGAAGAAGAAAAGAAAAGCCAAAGAAAAACGAGAATCCCAGGCGGGTTTTTCTGAGCTGATTATTATTTGCTCATTCATCGTCCGGCTTGCCTGTCTGCCTGTCTGCCTGTACGCCGGGCCCTGCGTCAGCCCGGGATGGGGGATGGGGGGCATCGATTGCTCTGCTAGGGGGGGGGGGGCGGGTCGAGGATAAAAAGTGCTGCGGGAACCATCCACGATCAGTCCCCAGGGGACTGCCAGGCTTTCCAGTCAAAGCAACGAGGAGTTCAAGAGTAAAGACTTCATGGCGACGGCAGGAGAGGCCAAATACCCGGCAGAGTCGCCGCCAGCGACACCAGCACCGGCATCAGCAACCGCCGCGGACGACGAGAAGCAGCCGGCGGCCATGGCTGCCGACAGCAAGGGAGCCGACGCAGAGGCACCGCAGGCCGGAGTGCAGCAGGTCGAGGCCATCGCGACGGTCTGGTCGATGACCTCGCTCGTCCTGACGTACGCCTTCATCTGGATCGTCTACTTTATCATGCAGATGGAGATGGGCGTCGTCGCGGCGCTGACCCCCTTCGTCACCTCTGCCTTACAGCACCACTCGCTCACGCCGACGGTGGGCATCCTCAGCAGCGTCATCGGCGGCGTATGCAACCTGACAGTCGCAAAGATCCTCGATGTCTTCGGGCGGCCGCAGGGGTACGGCATGTCGCTGGCCATTGCAACCGCCGGCCTCGTCATGATGGCGGCCACCGCCAACGTCGAGACCTATGCCGCCGCGCAGGTGTTTTGGACCGTCGGCAGTAACGCCTTGCTTTACAGCATTAATATCTTCGTCGCCGATACGACCAGCATGCGGAACCGTGGCCTGATGACCGCCCTTGCCGCCTCGCCCAACATCATCACCATCTGGCTGAGCGGGCCCATCTCAGAGGGCTTCCTGAAAGGGCCCGGCTGGCCCTGGTGCTTCGGAGCCTTCTCGATCATCGTGCCCGTTCTCTGTCTGCCGCTTCTGGGCGTCGTCTTGCACAACTACTTCAAGGCAAAGCGCCAGGGCGTCATCGCCTCGTCCACCAGCCGCAGGAACCCCTGGCAGTCCTTCCTCTACTACTGCCGTGAGTTCGATGCCATCGGCCTTCTGCTCCTCACGGCCGGACTCACGCTCTTTCTGCTGCCCTTCAATTTGTATGCTCTGCAGCCGCTGGGCTGGCGCTCGCCCTTGGTCATCTGTCTGCTCGTCTTTGGCCTGGCGCTGATGGTTCTCTTCGCGCTGTGGGAGAGGTACTTTGCTCCGGTCAATTTCATCCCCTTTTCCCTGCTGCTTGATCGCAACCTGGTCGGCGCATGTCTGCTGGGGACAGTCCTCTTCATCAGCTTCTTCTGCTGGAATAGCTTCTTCAGCTCCTTTCTCCAGGTCGTCAACGGTCTCAGCGTCACCAACGCCAGCTACGTAGTCCAGATCTATAGTCTCGGCAACACAATTGCTGGAATTGCTGCGGGTGTTGTGATCCGCTATACTGGCCGCTACAAGGCGATCACACTCTACGGCGCCATCCCAATATACACCCTCTTCATGGGCCTGATGATCTACTTCCGTGACCCACAGGCTAATATCGGTTATATCGTCATGTGTCAGATCTTCATCGCCTTTGCCGGCGGAGTCCTCATCATCACCCCTCAGATCGCCGCCATGTCTGCCGGAAACCACCAGCAGATCGCCGCCATCCTTGCAATCTTATCTATGTTCTCGGCCATCGGCGGAGCTATCGGTCTTACAGTTGCCGGCGCAATCTGGCAGTCCGTCTTTCCAGCCAAACTCCTCGAATACCTCCCCGTCGAGGAACAGGCCAATCTTCTTGAAATCTTCGGCAAGCTGGAAGTCCAGCTCAGCTACCCCATCGGCTCCCCGGCTAGAATCGCCATCCAACGCGCCTATGCAAGCGCGCAAACGAGTATGCTCACAGCCGGTACCGCCATATGGGCTGTTGGATTTGCTGCCGCCGCTATTTGGCGAAACGTCGATGTGAAGCAGATAAAACAGGTCAAGGGACAGGTTATTTAGAAGAAAGGGGGGAAATGAATAAAATAAAAGCTGGGCGTTTTTGGGTAATCGATGGCTCGGCATAGCACAGTATAGCATGGCATAGCGTATACGTACCTATATAATGATTATGAAATGTTGATTATTCTCTTCATTCAATGTATTCTAGCGGCCTCCAGAGTTTATCACCATGCAATATACATCGTAGTCCTATGTTTACCGACAAGTTCTATAGTAGCTTTCTCGCCTCATTTTCTTCCAACCTCGATGTAGATTTTAGATAGCTTAAAACACATTACCTTGTCTCCCTGCGTATACACCAAGGACCCAATTACTAACTGCTCTAGGGTCACAGTTCTTACCAATTTAACACATCCAGTTCCCCCTCGAGTGAAGAGTGAATACGTTTGTGCCACCCATCAAATAAAAATGGGCAGAAAATAAAAGTTCTACTAGCATAGCAATGTTCTCATTTTATATGCACTCCCGAGTATCAACTACACAAACTAGTAGTCAAGTGACAACTGCAAGAAGCACTTCACAAATATCCCAGGCTTAACTAACATTATATTCAAAGCCGTGGAAGTGATTCTCAACCAGCCAGCTGCAGTATCGAGAATCTTGTTAGTTTACCGCGCGGCTGCTGAACCTTGGCGCTTGTTGACAGGCTTGGCAGGGCGTCTCCGCGTCTCCGCGTGGCGAGTTATGCAGGGACCCGCCTCGTGCGAGTTAGCGAGTTAACCTAACTAGTAAGTTCAGCCAGAAATAGACAATAATAACGTTGTTGACCAAGTTCTATCCAACTCCTGGGCCAAAGTGAAAGCCCTATTAACCCCAATAGTCGGAATCCCAAGTTTAATATCTAGCATATAATCTACGGGGTATCTATAACTAGATCTAAAATAAAAAGGAAAATGGATATGTTTATCTCTTCTCAATGAACGCTTATTTCTCAATATTTATATCAAAGCATTTGGTATTGGTGGTGATAGCAAATGTAGCAGTTAGTATCTTCCATTCTAGCAACTATTAAATTATCTTTGATTACTCCGTATATATCTATTCCTCCATATCGTTATATCTCATACCTCATGTCATTAATATTTAAACACCCGGAAGTGGGAATCCACCGGTTGCAGGCCAATCTCCCAGTCTACCAGGATCTCCACCAATTCGTACGAAGGAGGCAATGGAAGGAGTTGGACCATCAAGTACGAATAGCATGAACCATCCCGGAGGGCATGTGTGGCTATCCGGTGGTGCTGTGATGGTGCAGGTACCGAAAGAGCAAGAGAAGGCAGGAAAGATAGTTCGGGAGCCAAAGCTGTTTCCATGGGTGCTCGAAACCATGCCCATTAAGGATATCTTAATTCTTGATTGGTTGCCGGATGTGATCTTTATCTTGTATTTCCCTCCATAGGCCCAGTCCTTGTTGGCAATGGTAAATGTTGGGCGGCGGGCTCCTGACAGGATGTAAGGGGGGAGGAAAACCTCAACTCGGCGTTCCTGGGGGAATCGAGGGTCCTGCGGGTCTGAGCCGCTAACCAAGACACGGCCGTCTGCCATCAGAATTGCCTCTGAATGGTACATGCGGGCAATAGTGGTGTTTGCCATGATGCTCATACGCTGGTTGACCGGCTTTGAAGGGTCATATAAAACAGCCCCGAGATTGGGGTCTTCAGCGAGGCCGAAGCCAGCAACACCCTTCCTTGCTCCATTCAGAATCAGGAACGTCCCGTCAGGAAGGCCTGCCATACAGGTGAGAACCCGTTTGGAAGGCTATATAGTAAATGTCGTTAGGAAGATAAGATATTTTTTGTTTGTTTGTGCTTATAGAGAGAGGTTGGCTTACCATTCGTTCTATCACCCATTCGGCGTTAGGTACTTCTGGCTGAATAGAAACACAATTATCTAAAGCATCGCCTCCATAAGGCGTAGAGCCACCGCAAATCAAGACACCAAGGGGTTCGGTATAAGGAGCTTTCTGGGGTAAAAGTACCATCGTACCCTCTAGAGGATACGTACGGCCTCCGGCGTCATTATTGACAGCTCCTGGGATGTTTGGCAGGGTTTTAACAGTGTCAAATGTCCGTTCATCCAAGATTCTTGCCTCATTGTAGTAAGCAGCTAGGATGTTACCGCCAGGAAGTGGTGTAAGATAAGGATAAAGGTTGTTTGGGTCAGTCCTCTTCAACCAGTCCATGAACAAGACTGGGCCAACTCGGGGAAGAATCTCTAGAGTGGGTACAGGTGCACCATTTGATCCTTCCTCGCCCCCAACAACCAGGATAGAGCCGTTCGACATTGTCATTGCAGTGGGGTACCATCTTCCGTTCTGCAATCTCAAGTCATCTGGACTTTCATGCCAGTCATTTACTCCAGGCTTCCCGGGAGAGCCATCAGGCCAGTAGAGCCGGACACCCTCAGTTGATATGCCAGACCAGCCACCAACCGTCAGCTGTCTACCGACCTTGTCTGGGAGAACAAGTCCTCCAGCACAGAAGATGTCGGTCTTAACATGCATTTCCCGCCACGCCTTGCTGAAATCTTTCTCATAATAAGGGTCAAATTCATATGCTCCAGTGGTGTTTGGGTCTCCAGTTCCAGATTTTTCCTGGAAAGTGATCTTGCCATTAATACCAACAGTGGTAATAAGCGGAACAAGCACTCCGCCGATCAAGAAGTCGTAGCGGCCGGCATTGATTCCAGTTGGGCGGTTCCATTTTTGCAGGGATTCATCCATCCACCGGTAGTATGTGATCAAGTTGCCAGCACCGCATATAGCAGTTGCATTACCAGAGCAAGTCTGGCTACACATGGCCTCAGGTACAAGTTTGGCTCCAGCAGCCGCAATATCCTCGAAATCTCCACAGACTAGGTATTGCTGGTTAGTTACAGAGCCAGTCTCTATATTTCAGATAGGAGGAGCTCACAGCATTCTTCCGAGTACGTCATCCCACCTGCTCCAAATCCAAACTTGGAGCAACGACTGAGACAGTTTGTAGCAGTGTTGTTCGTCTTGTCAACAATTTGGTATGGGAAAGTCCTCTTCATGTTGACATTATCCCTAGAGAGAATGGTAAGTTTGGCTTTGCATCCACGGACATAGGGATATCATCTTACTGGAGGCATCCTTGATACTTCCAACCACCTGGTAAGCCTCCGGTCTGCGGCACAGGGATAGGGAGAACGGTCAGGTTACCCTTTGAATAAACACTCAATCGGCTAGGGCCACCGCACTTCTGCTGTGTATTGCCGCTGCAGGTCATGGAGCACTCAGACTCTATTGCCTGCGGAGCAGCGTTCCGAAGATAATTGTCACAGAAACATTGTTTGGAGTATTCAGCTCCTGCAACAGTATAGCCCAGCTTAACACACATGGCAATACAGGATTCAATCGTGAGGGTTGAGCTATCAGGTAACATCTTGAACATGACACGCCCTCCGTTGACATTGTCCTGGTAGCAGCCAGAATACTGCCAGCCGTCCGGCAGCCCCTGAGTCGGCTCGGGGACTGATGTAGTCGTCGGTGACCCGGTCTCTGTCGAGGTAACTGAGGTTGTCATGGTGTCTGTTGGCTTGATGGCAGTATTTTGATAAAGGTTTAGCCTTCCTGGCCCTCCGCATTTCTGCTCAGGGTTGCCATTGCAAGGCATTGAGCACATTGCCTCTCCATCAGGTGCAGGGCCGCCGCCGTTCCGTAGCTGATTATCACACCAGCATTCGCTGCTGTACTCAACTCCAGCAAGCGAGTATCCCTGAGACGCGCATCCATTTTGACAGTTGGCAACGGTCATGTTTCCAGGACCACCAAGAGTGTACCCGACCTGGCCAAGGGTTCTTGCTCCCACCTGATCGGTGTAACATCCCAAGTACGTCCAGGTATCAGCGTCTGCCCTTGGGATCAACGCTGCTCCATGGGCAAGCTTAGCAAGCAGCGTGAACTTGTATATATTAGCACGTTTGAAAGGAAGCTGAAACAACGACAGTTATGAGTCTGTTGATGGCTTGAAACGTACAATACAGATGCTGATGATGTGGACGACGCTGAGTATTCCCGCCATTTTGTCTAGGCTGATAGTCCAATAGCAGCCAACTCAGGACAGGCACAGTCGTGTTTTCTCTCTCTCTGTGTGTGTGCCCGCACGCTTGCCTGCCTGTACCTGTCTCACTCGCTGTTGGTAGGAGAACAGATTTATATCTGTTGTACCGAGTCAGCCTGACAGCTCCAGTATGATCGGACGGCAGCTCGAAAGATCCCTACCTCAGCTGTAAAAGCAAACGCACTCCACAGGTTCTATACTCCGGACAGATGGTCCCAAGAGATCCAAGATCAACAATAAGAGTTGCCCAGAGGAGCCAAATTTATACGTTTTCTCTCTTTAGCGACACCGCCCCTACCCTGGAGTGAAGGGTCATGCCACCTTTTCTCTTTGCTTTGGCTCTAGCGAGGGAAGAGCCCAATCCAACAGGGCTGCTAGTGATTCGGCCGTGAAAGAAGCCGGTGCGTGCGTCTCGCCAGTTGATGTATGATGATGGCACGGGCGTGATAGCACCAACGCCGAAACTCTTGCATATGGCTTTGAGACATTCCCATTTTACGTTCTCTGCAGGAATGACAGATATGAGCTGGGCCAGCTATGGGGGGGTATGGGGCCGCAAATGGAGAGCAAAAGAAAGGCCAGACTGATTTCCTATTTCAGGGGTATTGCTGGTAACGGTTTGTCATTCAAACTGCACTTGGGGGGAATGGGGCACCGAGATGAGGCTGGACATGCTAACGCGAAGCATACACCGAAGCCAGAGAGGAGAGCTTTA